TCTTTGCTGACCGGACTTTTCCTTTTAAAGACTTGTAGAAGAGTTCAGACAGTTTAAAGAAACACGTTTCTCTGTGTTTTACGAAGACAGGAAGGAAAACCAAACATCAGTTTCATTTGAAGCCAAACTTCTGGATTAAAATCTGATGCATTAGTAGTTATTAGGTAGAAATATAGTTTAGATGTATTAAGTAGAGAATCTGATTTGACTCCAGTTTCCTTTGAGATGTTATCAGAAAACAGAAAATGGTTTCTGAAGCGTGACCGTAATCATCAGCTGCACATTATCCCTCCACCGTTCACATGGGGCCCCTCTCCGTTTGGCTCCTGCGGGACTCCTTCAGGTTTCAAGTCCTCCATCAGGTCTCCGTACGATAAGCTGTGGGTCCTCCTGCTGTAGAGCCGGCTGGGGGCGGATCTCCAGCCGTAAGTCCGCAGCATCTGCGACTCCTCAGGGAAACCTGGAACGGGCCTCCTCCTCCTGTCCTCCACGGGGCCGATGTGCTGGAGGCTGGCCTGCTGACGGGCGACCTTACGGGCGTAGTAGCGCTTGGAAGCCGCTCTCCACGCGGCCCTCTTCAGCCTCTGCGCCTCCTCCGTCAGCTGCGACGTGGGAACGTTCTTCTTTTTGTTCCTGGTGGAGGAGAGCAGGGGAGAAACGGCGAGGATGGGTTTAGATTGATGGTCATTCAGGGTTTCAGGACACATTTTAAGGCATTACATGGACCAATGAATCAGTCCGGGTTTACTTCCTTTTAAAATATCAGCATAAATATAAATACAGCTTACTTCAGCTGATCTGCCGCCGCGTTTTGAAAACCAGGAGGTTGCCCAGGAGTTTTCTCCCTCATCATCTGCCCCTCATTGTCCTCCGGATGCTCTGCAGGGATAGCGCATTCGCTCGGCGCACAACAACCTGGAAGGTTATCGATGTCGGGACTCTGTTCGTTGGGACACGGAGCGCCGGCTTGCTCCAGAGCCTCCGCGGCCCTCTCCTCACTCAGCTCCCATTCGATCAGCACCGCGTCGACGTCGCACGGCTCCTCCTTCACAGCGAGGCTGCTGGGAGTCGGAGGCTGGTTTCGGAGAGCCTCTGCGATCCCCGAGGTCTCCGACGAGCCCGACGTGCAGGTGGAGTTCATACCCAGGCAGCTGGGAGATGACGGGACGATCGACTCGTTGTAATGGGAGGGGAAGTGAGAGGAGGGGCGGGCATAAATGCCCACTGCCAGAGAGAAACACACGATACAGAGAATAAATATCATTCAGGGATAAAAACCGATCCATCATCAGTCTGTTAGGATTCATCTGGAATGAAAATACACATCAGCAATGTGTGGAAAGTTACGAGAAGAATAGAAAATCTCTTTATTGTTCCACGATGGGGAAATTCTGCTGTTTACAGCAGCAAGTAAGATTCATTCTTTGGCCACTAGGGGCGCTAGACCTGAGAATTTCAGTGCTAAATACTGATATAAAAAAAATAATTTAAGCCCGGCGTATACTATGCGATTTTCCAGTCGTGTAAGAATCTTTCGAGTAGTCGTGTGGTACAGCGGTCCCCAACCACCGGGCCGTGGACCGGTACCGGTCCGTCGGTCATTTTGTACCGGGCCGTACAGAAAAAAATATATATATATATTTATCAATGATCAGAGTCTGAGTGATGTTTTATTTTGAAAAAATATAAAACATTAGGGTATTCTCTCCCAACTACATCAGTTGGGGCATCTGTGCCTCTTGACACAGGTTAATTCAGGTCAAGAGGCATCCTATCTATAACTAGGGGTGTAAATAATAATGGTTTTGTATCGATGCATCGATCCAACAGCCGACGATCCGATGCGTCGACACGTCCGCAAGAGAATCGATTCAGGTTTTTTTTTTTTTTTCCATCTGGTCTATTTTTATCTATTTGCTCCTGGGCGTAATTATCCCTCCCGTGCTGCGGTGGCGCTAAACCTATTT